GACGCCCTATCATACATGCTAGCATTACTGTGATATTGACCACCACGGCCTCCACATACAATCATTTCAGTACGTATGATAGATTCACCCATGGAGTGACGCGTGTACTCCAGACCGTCGTCTGCATGGTACCGCCACCATTGCTCACACTCTATGCATGGCCCTACACTTCTTTTAATCCTGGTGTGTCGAGTGTCACATGATGCATGAATATTGAGCAGTTGGGGATACGCACATATTTTAAAGCATACTAAAATGCACTTCATTTTTTATATGATATATATAAGTGTTGATTTTTTTTTTTAGATATAAGTCATCTAGGCAAGTTGTTCGCACTATAATGGACATCATATAGTGCAAGTACGACACTTCATACTTATCGTGAAGGAAGATCTCAATTGAAGTCTGGGATATGTGATTTAAGGACTTTGAAGTAAACCCTAAACAATAATCCTAAGCTATATAACTATATCTATCTAACTGATTGATCTTCTTGGTACGAAATGAGTTCTCTTGGTTATCTGAGCAGCATTCGCAGATTAGGCAAAATTTTGAGATTAGAGGAATAGCCCATTTGTACGATATGTTCGCTGACATAGGCAAGACAGATGAGAGATCGCTATGAATTGAGAGACATATGGACCAGATATACAAAATTTGAACCTCTCATGACTATATAGGAAGGAGCAAATATTACAATTTGTATTCGGAGTTTAATGGTGAGCCGCCACGTGTCAAGTAGACCCATCATAATACACTAAGATTACATACTTTCCGATAGTGGGTTTTACATGCATACCACAAACTTCTTATGTATTTATGTAAAGGACCGTAATTTTGATACTTATATAACACTTTAATGTCATAATCACATAAAAACATATGATTTATTTTAGAAAAGTTATATTATTTGAAAGTTTTATGTGATTTTATATAATTAAAAATAAATTTCATGGGCTAGGATCGAATATAAATGGATAAGAATTGTAAGTCGTGTATGTAAATCCTCCTTACCTTTAATTCTACAATAATATTATTAAATTATAATATAAATGATTATATAATTATTATCATAATTATTATTGTAATTATAATAGTTTAGGTGTTAATTATCTAAATATATAGGAATTGTATGGTATGTATGTAAATGCACCTTATTATTATTGTTATTATTCTTATTATTATGAGTAAAATATGGAACTCAATCTTTGCTCAAATAACCACAATATTTAATTTCACATTAAGACATTCTA